TAATAGAAGCCTTATGATAAAATGTAGTAAACTAAGGGGATATACCAAAAATTCACTTAAGTCTCTGTTAAAAACTTACAACATTGATAATGGCATCAAAAATATAAGATGATATTTCTAGGGAACCATTTAAGTCTTGAAAAGTATCTAAGTTGTTAAATGAATTCCTTGAATATCTAGTAACAAACAAATGATTCATAGTAAACAATTTCATTACTTTATTTTGATGTTGTGTAGAAGAATGCAGCTTTCAGAATGTGTATTTGTTTTGGATAAAACAAATAGTAATGTCTGTAGATGTTATTTATGTCACAAAAGCATCTAGAAAAATAGACATACAGTAGATTGTTGTAACAAAGTACATTGTTTTTTCCATATAATCTGAGCAGTGATCGACCAATCAACTGAAGTATACATAAAACTAGTCCAATTTTACGTATTTTAATTCTTATTTTACGAAAAAATTATTGGATCATCAAAATTATCAATCTAAAAATACATTCAAGTTTTTTTCTTAAAATCACTTAAAACTGGACGTAAATCTTAGTGGAAACGTTAACAAACTGTGAAATGGATGGATTCGACCTATGAACTTAAAACTGAATGAAATGCTACATAGAAACCTACAGTTAACTAATAAACTTTTGAAAATTTATTACATTTATTCTTTTGGCTTAAATTAACTCCATTTTGATGTCAATTATTGTTTGAAATTGTCTTTATATATAATAATGTTATGATATACCGAGTTATTTTCTTACTATATTCATTGTAACGCATTTCTATTTAGCCTAAGTTGTTTAAATAAACTTTTTTTGAGTACTTAATATAAGACATTATTTATTTGAATAACTGTAATGTGAGCAAGAACAAAGGTTAGTGCAGAATAATATGAATTCATTTTATTTCGTTAGGTTCTCATCAGCTGCTTACGACCTAAAATATTTGAAAATCAACATTATTATAGATATTGACATACTTATACATCAGAGGGCGATGAAGATGAATATATGTAACATAATGTAGCAAAGATTTCGTTAGAGTTAGTGAAGTCATATATTCATCCTTCATCGCCCTATGTTGTATAAGCATGTCAATATCTATAATAACTTTGAATTTCAAATATTTTAGGTTGTAAGCAGCTGATGAGAACCTAACGAAATAAAATGAATTCATATTATTCTGCACTAACCTTTGTTCTTGCTCTCTTTAAAATAATAAAGGGAACTATGTGTATATAATTGTAATGTGTTGATTGTATGCTTTAGGGTTAGGAAATAAGTTTATTTTTATTTTATACACATTGTTTACAGATTCTTTGAGTCACTAAGGAATTATTAATTGATGTTAGTGTTTTACTAACTACAAAGTAATTTACTAGATTTTAGTCGTAGTAAATAAGGGAGGTTCATGTTTCCCAGGTAACATTGATTTATGCTAGATCAAAAAAAAATACATATATCGATCTATCTACTGATTAAAACACACTCAAGTGCATTTAAGTAACTTAACAGTCAGACATTGTTTTTTTTTTCATAGAATGGAGTAAAAATTAGATAAGTTTTAGAAGATTAGTTCTTGTACATTTGAGTCATTTCTAGGCATGAAAACAAATGAAAACCTTGCTTTTTAGGTTTATATTTATACATATTTTATATAGAGGTGAACATAAATCATGAAGTAAATATACGTAATGGTTTATGTTACTAGATTTGATGAATAATATATGTAACCAATTGAATATTTAATCTCTCAAATTACTTGATATCAGTTTATGCCTTTAGTATTTTCACATAATATTTAAGTGTTTGTTGAAATATGATCTATGTGAATTAAGTCATCCTTTTTAATGAATGGATTCATTTACTTATCAGTACATAAAGGATGCTTTCTGTCATCAAAGAATTTTAACTAATGCATTGTCAAATACTTTATCGAGGGAGGCAAATTTCTAAACGTGAAATATAAATGTGGTTAACAGTCATAGTATTAAATGGCTTAAACAACATTATAAATTTATTATCTATTTAAAAGAATTATAATTAGTATTATACTTGATTTGCTTATTACCATTTTCAATGGAATTAGGTTTCGTTGATTTATCTAGAAGAAATTATAATTGCATTAATGTTACAATAAGTGATATCCAGCCATCTCAAAGGCGAAATGTTCATAAAGAACAACATAGTTAACATTTATTTCAGTTTCATTCAAGCGCTCCAATTATTTATGTTTGTCATTTACCTGCTTCATTTTCAAAATGTATACACAAACACCGTGAAAATCGAAGTCCCTATCAATTATCAATAGCTTTGGTTGTCAACCATCACATTTGAGCAGTAGAAAAAATTAACAGACATTTGTTAATTAATTTTGAAATTTTCTGATTGAGATCATGAACTGATTAATTTTAGACTACTACTGAAAACCTGGGAGAACTGGGTGGCCATTTCTTTCTGTCATGAGACTCCTCAGCAGTGCACATCCACGATCCCGCTCACAAGATTCAAACCTGAGGCCTTCAGTCTCGCACGCGAACGCTTAACCTTTAGACCACTGAGCTAGCCGAAATCAAAACGTTTTAAAGTTTAACATAAACCAATCTACTCGACACGGATTAGCTCCACTGGTCATGGCTTCTCACCAGAATTCCGAGGATTCCCTCACGAAGCTAGTCACTAGTGAGCACATGGATGAAATGGTAGTCTAGTGCTTCCAGGTTTTCAATAGTGCTTTAACATCAATCGGTTCATGATCTCAATAAAAAATACTATTAATCTTCTACATAAATTTATTTCCCTACCATCTGGTTGTTTGTCAGAACCATTTAATTTTATTATTCTTTTAAAGTTAGTCATGTATTTTCCTATTGTCTGTAAGAGCTATTTATTTTGTTGCTAAAGTATATGACACAAACAATCAATACAAATTTTTTCAGATCATTTCAGTAGAATCAATGTTTGTACTTGTATATTACAGAATATGTTTTCTCAAAGGTCACTTGAAAATTGTTAAGCGATAGTAATTTTAGAATACTTCATGCCATTTTATGTTTGATTCATTATTGTATTTTCATCTTATCTGCTGATATTGAATTTATATTTAGCATTCATTTGTTCGATCGTGGGTGCGCACTACTGAAGAGTCCCATATTGGGACGAAATGACCGTCGATTGTTTCCAGGTATTCCATGGTGGTCTACCTTCAAATGACTCATGAACTCAACTATTAAATTAATAAAATATTCACAAAACCCCTTTCTGAAAAGGTTATTTGTTGTTATTGTATTGCAGAAAACATTTTTAGTGGAAAAATACTTAGATATTTTTACTAATTGAATAAGATCTAAATAATGAGTAGCCCAGTATATTACTTAAATAAAACAATCGTCAACTTAATAGTTGGGAAAACTAAATATTCAAACTATTTTAGTTATTTTAAACTAATGTGTGTGCGCTGTTCATCTGATTAAAAAAGAAATTCATTTTCTATTCCAAGTAGGAGAAAATTAGCATAATTTATTTCCTATATTTTTAATACAAACAGCCATTTAGGTTTTAACACTTATTCCAAACAATGTACTTGTTGGCACTAGATATTTCTATGTGATTAGATTGGGTTTAATATCCTTACTAAAAAAAACTAATAAATTTTTCATATTATGAGCAGTTTAATGAGTCTGACAGATGAGTTTTATTGGGGAATAGTAAGTGTTAATGTATATCCTATTACTTCTTTTAACTCCGCCTGGAGCCCTTTGGGGCTACTGCCAGTCCCAAGCCCGGATAAAGGAGGAGGGTTGGATAAGGGTTAGAGACCCCATCACGTAGAAAACTAATGCGATAAAAAACGCTAACCATTACTCCTTTTAATTTATAAATTAAATTATAAAAGATCATGAAGAATTGCAAACATTAATACAACATTTAATGAGTTTAATTACGATCTGTGTTTTCTAACTAAAGCTTATTAGCAATGGAAAATATCATGTGAAATAAATGAAATTCCCCGGTAATCCGACTTCATAGTTCTCATCGTACATTTTTGAATTGAGAGAAATACAATAACTTTTTCGAATCAAATGTCAACATAGTTCGATGTCTCAATTTGATTACTGAAACGACAGAGTTATTAATATAACTGGATTAAATATTTCAGATTTAAACTTCAAATTATAAGCCGATTATTTTAATGAAATCCTGTTTATATATAGTAGATCGTCATTATTTCGTCTTTTAAAAGGTTGAATATAGTAATTATAGTTTCATCCTTTATCATATATTCTAGTACTTCGTTCATTTATCCGATTTGGACCACACATTATGAGTGAGTGCTAATGATGCTACCCAAGTGACGTGATCAAAATTAATGGAGTGGATTTTGGACATGATATTTGTTGCTTGGACGATAAATGTTTTAACCAATCATCCATTGTTCCACCTTTTAACAATAATCGGTGAAGTGATAAGCACACCAAGACTCAACCCTTTTTAGTAAATCCATAATGACTATACATTACGGATGATTTGAATGTAATCTTTCCTACAGAACATAAAAAATGAGTTGGAATATAATGTAAGTAACAAGTGTGAATCAAGAAATTTAGCTAATATATCAGCCAGCCAATCGAAAATACGAACAAACTACATCCCTTTATGCTCAAATAAAAGATTATTACTATTGAATAATCTAAACTATAATTGATATAATACATTCTTAGAGATCTATCATTCTAGACTAGTCTGAACTTTTTATCATTTGTAAATCTCAAATCTTTGATTTTATTAGTGAGGTGAATTTTAATATAATATTAGTCAATAACTAATTCTGTAGGGAATCCATTTGTGGAGCTGAATTCAATCCTAGACATTTTAACTCATAAACACAATTGAATTCTTAGCACAAAGCTATTCATCATTCTCAAATCTAAATTTTCAAAAAAAAAACCTACCAACCACTAGTTAATGTAAATAGTTTTAATCAATTCAATCAAAACTTACTTGTGGACATTTATTTGACGTAATGAATGATCTAATTGGCATACTTCTTATTTGTCTTCGTTTCAATTCACTATTATAATCCAATTTTGAAATAAATGGAATTATTAAAGGTTGATAGAACATAGTACTTGACTTTATACTACTAGAAAAGAATTTATTGAATTGATAATTAAATTTATATGGTATATTTACAATCCAACCAGTTACATAAGATACATTTGAATTAAAAAATAACATTGATTGTAAAATTGGTTGAAATAATATACATAATAATATAAATACTATCAAATGTTTGCATTTTTGTATTGATGGAAGCTTAAAATACATATTAAATACTGTTAGTATTCATTTAAGCATAGAGATTATTTGTATATACGGTAAGCGTAAACTTAAGCTTAGATCTAGCGTAAAATATGCTCATATACATAAATGTGGTAGAAATGGAGAAAACAATTTTTATTTATTTTTTATTGTTCTTAAATGAGTGTGTTGATTAGTTTATACACCATATTTCTACACACATACACACACACTAATGTATACGCACATATATTTCAGTGTTCATATAGATTTGTCTACAAACCTTACGGAATAACATTACATACATACAGACCGGGATGCAATTATACACTAAACTCTTTATGACACAGAAATTTCATTTAGTGCTTATAAGCTAAAATGTTAAGAAATATTTTTTTAATTTTTCTTGCTTACTTGTCCTAAATTATTTGACAATTCTATTGGAGATTAGTTCAAGGGATGGTTGGTATAGATTCATTCATTTTCTTATTTCAGCTAATCACATTTGTGTATGTGTGGATAGACGGAAAATTCTAAACAGGTATGCCGTAAACTGAAATATGTGTTTTAAATGTTGTTTGTGTAATTATTATTATCGTTATTCTGACCAATTTCGCCTTTGTCTTATTGGGTGGTCAGTCAATGGTTTGAAAACATACACCATCTGTTGATATCTTATGTAGGCAACCAAAATGAATAGTAAATGCTTTGTTTATTTGAACTACATGCTACTAATGATGATGGTGATGACGATGATGTGACAATAATAATTTTCGTTGGTCAAAAGTAAGAAATTTGAAAAAAAAATGTCTAGAGAAGAGATAAACAAAAAAGGTAAAACAATAACTAACCGCTTTATTACTGAAATAAAAATAGTAAAGGTTAGGGTAATGTTTGTTTAATAATATTTTCAGTGGATTTATGGACTGGGTTTGGGTGTGTGATGTTTGTTTACATCCGGTTGTTTTTTTATTCGACCATAGATTCTTTCTTTTATGCAGATTTTCTGTTAACTTGTTCATGAGCTTATCTCAGTTGACCGCAATAAAAAAATCTTATTGTCTAGTTTATAAAACACAGTCATCTTACCGCTTATTGAAGGTAGGTCATATATATATATATATATATAGACGATAATCAAGATTAGAGACTTATTGTTTATTAAAAAAAGCTTTATTATTTGATCATCCATCACAGAAATTCATAGATAAGTTAGTTTGATAAATTGCTCTAATTCCTCAAGAATACAATTTATTTCGATGTTCAGTTGATATTTGAACGTGATTGGTAAGCGATTCTAAAAGTATACATTGAAATGAAGATAGTGTCTCAAAAATTATTACCGACTTGTTATAATCGTTATTTGGTGCTATAGTAAACTACATTGAACAGTTTCATCAGCCTTGATGTGTGTGCCAAAGGTGGAACAGTCAGTGTTTAAAGATAGATATACTGCACATTAATTCTTTCCGTATTACTCTACAACTGTGAAAAATGGCATATGAGAGTAGAAGACATGCTGAGGTTCTAAGCATTTGGAAGGAAGTTTTCTCGACACGTTGCTTCTATATCGTGAAAGTATATAGTGAGTAATCCTTAGTTTAACATTCAAATCACAAATGTTCAGTAACTGAGGTAATTAGGATATATATCATACATATTCAACCATAGGTCAACTTGATATGCAATACTATCCACTGTTAAAGTATGTAGGTTAAAACTAAAAGGTGAGCAAACGAGGACATTATGCAATGAAATTATTTATTCATAGTCTGAGACATATTAAACTATTTAAGACTTCCGATTGATAGGACGCAAAATAGTCGTAATCTAGGGCTGGATACATTAGATGACATGGCGGAAAATCCACCACGTTGGAGTTGAATTCGTTCTATGTTTCACCTCATAAATTATTCCCTCTTTCACTGTGTGGATGGAGGATGCAGTAACCTGAACACACACACAAATTCCATGTTGGGTCATGTGATGAATCGCAAAAACCGACTGAAACTCCCCATAAGACTAGAATACATAGTCATCAGTGTTTTATTGGTGGTAGTTTGACTTTTCCAACGAATCACTCATTTTGAGTTAAAAAATTATTTGAGAATATCTATTTAACTAAGTTTCAGAACTACTGGTATATTATACAATTGGTTTGAAAGCTTATTATGTTTTGTATTATTTGACATAACAGATATCTTTCTTATTTTCTAACTACAACATGAAAAGTTTTACAACATTCTTGCCGAATGCTCTGCTCAGTGGAGACAAATTATAAATTACATGAAATGTTTGATCTATACGAAATACATCAGAAATAATATTTATCATGCATGGAAATAGTAAATATATTTTTTAAAAGTTCCCTCTAATCTGTTTGAACTATCAGCTTTTATTATCTGCTACTATTCAATATCCCATAGTTGTATAATCATTTAACCATTTATTACAACCGCTAATGAGACTTAACGGTTTATTCAAATTTCATTCAACCCCCAAATGCCCTGATACGGCCGAGGGTGTGAAGAGTCTACGAGCAGAAGTTTAAGGAAGTTGAACTGAAGAGAAGAAGGAAGGAAATTGAAAGCGATCAACAACACGAATGAAGGAACAATGAAGCTTGTAGGAGATAGTTCAAAGATGTAAAAATGAAGTATCTGATGCATGATGATAAATAAATATACTTTTTGTTATATCTTGATGAGTAGAAAAATTGTATTTCTTACATTTCGTGAATTCTTCAGAGTAAACAAAATGTATGATTTTCACATTCTGCTAAACCATCACGTAGCTGTGTATTAAACAATAAATTGACCTTCTCCATCTGAGTGCTCGTTTATTATAATATCAGTAATAATGTGGTGTGTGCTACTGATGTCGACAGATTTAATTAGTATATATTATTAGTCGAATGTGGAATGCTTGGCGACAGAATGATTAATATAGAAGCGCAGAAATAAAAAAGTTTGCGACAACTGATGGATATTTCGCAAATGAAGTATTCACTGTATGGTTCTCAGATTTTACCAAGACATTCTGTAATGTATTAAAATACGTTTGGTTGTCCGCCGTCTGAGTACTCGCTCATTAAAATGTGAATAATGACAATTGTATTTTGTTATATATTCTGACTTGAAAACACGAAATTTGGTAAGAATTTGTCAGAAATGTACTTTGTTTTCTATCTTTCTTAACCTTGAAGCTGATATAAGCAGTATATAAAGGATGAGGATATAATATGGTTAAATAATCATTACATAGTTTAACTCTGTGTACCGCATTCATCATGTTTTATTGAAAATTTTACCTTAGAATAAGTTAAATTGGATTCAAGAACATTACCGGCGCGGCTAAAAATAGGAGACAACAGCTCAATAAGAAGTTAAATAATTGAACACCTTGTGAATGCAGGTCACTCAATCAAGATGAACTCTGAATTCAGAGTCATCTACAAGATAAGTAGAAGTCTTCTAAAGGCAGTTATATCTCATCTTCTTAACATTGCTGAAGCAACAGCCATACATCTAGGAGGGCCAGAATTGTGTGTACAAAAGAGATTGGTACAAACCCTTCTACCATGGTTTTAACATCTCATGATTTTTTCTTCACTCTCTTCTTCCTTTACAACCACCTACTTCCCCTTCCATCTTCTCCTTAAACCTTCTACCTCCAACTTGTTTATTTATGTTTCTATGCTTCTCCTGATTACATTTCATCTCAATTGCAACATTTTATCTTAACAGAAGTTTATTATCATTATTGTAATTATTATCATCCTGAAAAATAAGTATACATATATTTGTGATTGTACAGCTTTGAGAATGAATTCGCCGAGAAGAGAACTATTCACTGAACCAATCTTTCTGATTTAAAAGTGAGATTGTTTCGCCTTAGTTCAAAGTAAACAATACACTTTACTATTTAAATGAATGCTTGTATGATAAAAACCAAACAATGAAAATGATTATTATTTTTAGTCGCTAAAATAATGAGCTTTATCTATAATTTACATCGTCTTCTGTAAAGTACAATGAACCTTGTAATAGAATACCAAATGGTATAAAATAAAAACAAATTTCACCTTCCATTCAACAATCTTTAAATAATATTTTTAAAATTAAAACAATTTGGAAGTGCTTTATTTGGATGGGCAATTTTCTGTTGTAATTGAAAATCATAACTTTTGTCTAGCATCTAATTAAAAGCTTTAGAATAAAGGAGTCAAAAGCGTTTGTGATGAAAGATTGGAAAAATCTTTATTTGTGTAACAACATGAAACTTAATCTACAAGAATCTCCGACTGGTATTTTTAGGTCATCTGAAATTATTAAGCAACAGAATGTAGTTTAATTAAATTCTGTTTACGCAGCTTTCGACAAAACTCGAAAGCGATAAATAAATTGGGAAGGATCTGCTTGTCAACTCAACACTACCAAAGTAAATTAAATTGTTAATTACCTATGTTTCAAAACATTTTATTATATTTTCACTTAATTATTATGAAATCATCCACTTTAAAAATGTTTTTGTGTTAATTGAATGATTTAAGGAATTCTTTAAATACTTCTCAATTATTAATTAATCCATCTTGCCAGATTTCTAGTCTTTTATAATTCAATCTCACTTCAAACAATCGTATATTAATATGTTGAGATTATTTATAAGTTCGTTCATTTCGATTATTCATAGTCAGTACATTTAGTGTGT